CCTTCCTTCCTTCCTTCCTTCCTTCCTTCCTTCCTTCCTTCCTTCCTGTCTTTCCTTCCTTCTTTCCTCCCTCCCTCCCTCCCTTCCTCTCCTTCCTTCTTTCCTCCTTTACTCCCTCCCTTTGACTTTCCTTCTTTTCTCCTCTATGAAACTGAAGATGGCTCATAAACAAGACACAAAAATACAATTTTTTTTTTTTAAAAAAAAGAGGGAGAGAGAGAGAATCAAATCGCACGCACAACGAAAACACCAGGGATAGGTTTAGTCATTCCAAATAATTTATTTGCCATTAACGCTTTTGCAGCGTGCAGTTTCTCCTTTTAAAGGTCTGGAACGGGCTGGGTTGTGTATTGGGTTGAATCAATTTCCCTTCCTTTGACAGCCTCCCTTGAAAAACTGGAAGAACACTTCAGCATCCGCACACTGTATTTTATAGCCTATTTAGTTTTCGGCCTGGGCACCGGTCTGGCTACCTTGACCCGGAATATCTACGTGATCCTGTCGCTCTGTGTCACTTACGGCGTGCTGTTCTCCACCCTTTGCACACTCCCTTATTCCTTGCTGTGTGACTACTATCAAAGTAAGCAGGTACGGCAACTGCTCAGATTCCTCGGCCGGAGGGTCTCTGGGCATGTACAGAGGGCCCTCATCTTTCAGAGGGGAGTCCCTTAGAAGAGAACGGTCTAAGGGTTTAGAAGTGGCTTAGAAATGTGAGAACTTCTTACTCTACGGAAGTTTGAAGACGGGTGGACTTCAACTCCCAGAATTCCCCGGCTGGCTGGGGAATTCTGGGAATTGAAGTCCACTCATCTTCAAACAGCCAAGGTTGCGAAACATTGCTGTATAATTACAGTATTTTCTATGCATCTTTGTGTATAATCTCTCTCTCTATAAAAGCGAAATGCCCCTCACGCATCATGACAAACTCTCCAGAACCGTCAAGCCTACAAACTTGAAATTGGGCCCATATGTTCCTCTTGGCTGCTAGGGACTCCCTAAGAATGGATTTTTCGACATGACCATCAGGGCATTTAGAGTATTTCCTATATTATTATTAACGCGCTCTGATGCTAAGGAGTTCTACTCCCCCTCCCCACCTGGAAAGAAATCTGTTCCAAATGCAAAAACACAAGCAGAGGAGAGGAGTTTTAGTTTCACAGACGCACCAAGCAGCTTTAGTAGGGAACAGTTGAGCTAAGCCACACCCAGGCTCCTCGCTGTCTCCTTGCTCACACAGCAAATACTCTTTCAGTTTCCAAATAGCCCTCAACTCTCTCACACACTGACAGGACGCTAGCCAGATGAATACCGATGGATGCTGGTAGGCAGAGGCAGAATTCCCCCCACCCCTTATTTTCCTCTCCAAAAACTAAGCCCCACCACATAGTTTCATAGTGAAGCACGGGGATCGAGCTAGTCTCTTATTATCGCCATGCAGTTATCGAGGGTACAAAGCTGGCAAGTTTTGCAACTTTTAAACCTTTTTAATCTTCTCTCTCTCTCTCTTCCCCTCCGTCTCTCTCTCTCTCTCTTCTGTCTTTCTCGAGACAGTTTGCCGGCACTGACAAAGATGGCACTAAACGAGGCATGGGTGTTGATATCTCCCTCCTGAGCTGTCAATATTTCCTGGCCCAGATTCTGGTCTCGATCGTCATGGGTCCTTTAACGGCCGCGGTGGGCAGTGCCAATGGGGTGATGTACTTTGCCAGCGTGGTTTCTTTCGTGGGCTGCCTGTATTCCTCGCTCTGCGTCTTTTACGAAATGCCCCCAGGGGAGGAACTGGCTGAAGAACAGCAACCTCTGATGTTGAGCATATGAAGGAGTGCAAAAAAAATAAATAAATTAGCAATTCAGGCCCCATGTACCATGCTCTCTTTCTCTCTCTCTCTTTTTTTGGGGATCAGGAGTAAGAAGGAGAATCCTAGATGCATATCTAATAAAAATAAAATATCCAAGCTGGCTGGTTTGATTTTTTTTTTTTTGTGGAATTATCAAAATATCAAAGGCGGTGGGGGTTCTAAGAGAACATCTAGTCTCACCCATTGCTCTGGACCTCAAGGAAGGGCTTGCAAAGAGGGGCTACTGCCTTTATTGACTCAGAAATAGTCGGGCAACATTCCTGATTCATGTTATGGAATATGCTGCTTGGGGAATTCTGGTAGGCGAAGTCTGCAAATGATGGCTAGGGAATTCTGGGAGTTGTATTCCACGTAGGCTGGCTGGGGATTTTGGGTGTTGAAGTCCACACATCTAAAAAGTTGAGGAAGTAGAGAAACACTAATTTTGAGGGGGGGGGGGAATTAATTATGCACTAATTTAGAGAGAGAAAATAATAATGATGCACCATCTATTTGTCTGCAAGAACCATGAAAACAGTAAGCATTACAAAAAGAAATGCTTCTGCCCAAAATAAAATAAAATAAAATAAAATAAAATAAAATAAAATAATAAAAATCAAGTCAAGTCAAATCAAATCTTTATTATAGTGATAGCCCAACTTAATATACACGTTGAAATGATGAATGGAGAAGCCCCTCCCCTCCCCATTGACTTCTCAAGTTCTAACCAATCAGCTTTCGGGTTTCACTTTGCCGGCCAGTAAAGACTCCTTTCCTTTTCATGACGTCAGCGCCCCGCTGGAAGAACCTCGCACCAATGAGGAGCCAGGAGGGGGCGTGGCCTGGTCAGCTGCGGTTTTAATGTCTATTTTGTTTCCGAGACCGTTTGCTGCAATTATATTCTGGGCGGTGAGTAATTTCCTTTTTCTTTATTTTTTATTTTTTTTAAATTGCATTGGATGATCCTGTCGGGAAAACAAAGCAGATACCGAAGGCAGAAGAATTTTTTTGCAATGCCAAGGAATAATTTTTTTTGCAAAAGAGGAACAGGCTAGTTTGTAAGAAACTGAGATTTGTAATCCTGGTTTTGTCTATAAAGGAAACTGAGATTTGCGATCGTGGTTTGTCACTCTAGGGAAGGGTTGGAATCTTGGAAGCGACGTCTTTTCCCCTTTGGAAAGAGTTTGCCTTGAAAAACTGACCCTTTTGCCTGCGTTCACAAAACCCGGGGGTGGGTGGGAAATCCCTACACGTGTTTGCGGGTGGAATGCGTTTTATAAATGCTTTAACTTGCGTGTCCTGTCTCTTTCCAGCCCCTGCAGCCAGTTTTAGGACCAATTTTAAGCCCGGCCAGTTTAATCCTCCAGCTTTGGGGGGGAGGGGGGGAATCCGTTTATGCTAAATGGTTTTTTTAAAAAAACTGCTCTGTAAAATGGAGTTTTCCTCATTCCCAGAAGGAAGTCATTTGGTAAATAAATAAATAAAAAAGTCCTATCCAGGTTATGTAAGGTTAGACTCAAATAAACAACCATATCCAGGCTGGTTAATTTTTTTTATTGGATTATTTATTTACCTCCTTTGTCTCCTGGTGATTGGTCCAAAGTCCAACTGCCCTTCATGCCTGAAAGGTGAGTCTAGAACTCATCACCTCCTGGTGATTGGCGTAAAGTCCCAACCAGCTTCCATGCCTAAGGCGGGACTTGAACTCAGGACCTCCTGATTTCAACCCTGATGTCTTAATCCCACACAAGGAGGGGATGAGTGTTCAAAAGGTTTTCTGAACTCATTCTTTCATTGATTAGGTCCATGGGAAGCTCTCGTCCAGATGTCTTGCAAAATCACCGTATTGGTTATTGGCGCGGGAAACCGGGGGGAGAATTATTCTTCTTATGCTTTATGTTACCCGGATCGCATGAAGGTAAAATTCTGGTTTGTGATTCATATCATTATTTATTTTGCTCTTATTATTATTATTATTATTGCTTTTGAGCAGACTTTGTATGAAGATAAATCCAGCAAAATGCCTCTAATCGGAGGAGGAGGAGGCATGGCCAGCCTCAAGGCAACCTGAGAGCTTGGGGGGAGGGAGAAGGAATGGAGCTGTCGGAGAGAGAGATGGAAACAAAGCATGGGCCGTCCGTCAGCCCTCAGATGGAGAGTCAACAGCCCCCAGGTCTGGAGGTGACTGATGAGGAAGAGGAGGAACAGCCGGGTCCAGTGCCTGACACACGAATGCATAGCAGGCAGAGGAGAGGAGAGCAGTGGAAATCTATGGGCTGGTCCTTGGGACGGAAAAGCCATTGCTGCTAGTGAAGCCCCACCATAGCTCTGGGGATAAAAGGCAGGGGGCGGAGATGAATAGATGTGCCAGGCAACTGTTCATCTTCTGGCCTGACGGACTTGTTAGCCTGCGGCGAGAGAGAAACTTTTCGCCGGGGCTGCCAGCGCTCCTAATTAAAGGAATCTTTTGAATTCACTTCCAGAGGGTTTGTTGTGTTTGGGCAGCTGGGTCAGAACAATTCTCTTTCTTCCAGGTGATTGGCGTGGCCGATCCTCGGGAACTTGTCCGTCAAAAACTACAAGACGTGCATCAAATCCCGGCGGAGAATGTCTTCGACGGTGAGGGCCTCCTGCATTTTCATCTTTCTTTTCCTCCAAATGAGCCTCCTCGTTGCCAAAAAAAAAAAGAAAACCAAACTCTTTTTAAAATAACGTTTTTAAGTTTCCTTTTTAAAGTTTTTTAAATGCTTAAAAATATTTTTTTTTAAAAATACAAAATTGTTTACATTATTTTTTTAAAAAAAAATCATTAAAATCGTTTTGAAAACACGAGGATGGCCGCCGGGAAGCCCAACATTTCTGTGTCTAAAGTGAGACGTTGGTTCAGTGAGTTTCCACAGGGAAGATGCAGTGGTTGTAAGTATGAAAAATGGTCATAAGTCCCTGAGCTGTAACTTGGAACAGTTACTAAACGAACTGTTGTAAGTTGAGGACTACCTGTAATGCATTGAAGTTACAAGAAAGCCAATCTTGACTGTGTTAGGAATAAACTACATGCCTGTAAGAGAAGTCGGTCAGGTTCAATTTTTTTTTTAGAAGTTTGCACTGAGCACGGGGTTGGATTGGATGACCTCCAGATCCCCCCCTTCTGATTTTCTGGTCATTGGAATCCCCCAATTCCTGCAATGTTTTTAGCGGTTACTTCTTTTAAAGATTGGATTGCCGCTGCGGAGCGAGAAAAGTTTGCCGACGCCGTGATTATAGCAACTCCAGACAGACTCCATAAGGTGAGTCCATTTATTTTTCTTTTAATTGTCATTGTCAAAATTGTAAACACAAAAATCAGTTTTTAATTTTTAAGTGTATGACAGTTTGCAGTTTTGTGTCCCCGGGAGCATCTTAACCGCCAAAAACTGAAACTAAACATTTTGCCATTAGAAAAAACGACGTTGGAAGCCGTGCAATCTTTTATGACATCATTCAACTTTGGTTTTTGTGTGTGTGTGTGTGTTGTTTGTGTTGTTTTGTGTAGTTTTTTTCCATTAATACTTTGCTATTGTACTTTCATTTTGATCACATTTATATGTTGCTCATTCATAGTGCAAGACACTATTATTATTAATATTATTAGTATTGCTTTATACACAAAAAATGACAGTGTACACAGCAAATGAGATAACTGTGCTGGGTTTTGTATCACAAATCACTAGTCAAACATTATTATTATTATTATTATTATTATTATTATTATTATTATTATTAT